TTGTTTTGTATGAGTTTTCTTGTTTTTTTAACAGAAACTTACCTCTATTCAAATCATTAGTTTCAGGATCATTAAATCAATCAAAGAAAAACCAAAACTGACACCAACTAGCCTCCAAAAAACTAAAACTACAACTGTAAACCCTATGATGAGTCTTAGAAATGGTCACCCCTGAAAGAGCAACACGAATCGTTAACCGTGAAGCGGGTTTGACACAACTGTCCCTGATCCTATAGATCCATATACTCCTAACGACATAAAAACAGGCAAAGCTTCTAAACAAAATGACAATCCTAACGACATAGACGTTAACAAGAATCCAAATGACAAAAAATAATAACTAAAAGGATAACTTTCACGAACCCTAACACTTCGTTTAACCCATGGCGATGGTTCAGCAGGAGGCCGTACCAATGGTACCACTTTAATTGATTCTCCATTGTCGATCGAAATCTGGCCAACGCGAAACCCGTCAAACTCTCCTCATCTCCCACTCGTAGCAAAACCATCACTAGTTGTTATCTTCTTCGCTGCCAAGCCCTGTGATGAATTAATCTTCCCTATCTACTCGGCGAAGAATACGGTCGATTCGAGACGCGCGCAAAAATCTCAAACCCTAATCAATAGGGAGACGGCCGCTAGAACACTAATAGATCCCGATCTCGATCCTTCTCCCTTGGAATTGGAGATCCTGCCTGTGCGAAAACACCCACCGGACTGGTAACGAATGTTACCGCCGGTACAAAACTACTAGAGTTTTCTTGATTGAAATATAATAATTTAAATGTGTTTCACTTTTAAAATAAGAAAAATTGAAAATAATAATGTTGCTTGTTTGCATTTAATAATACAAGTATCGACTATTCACAGCCTCACAGTTGTGCTTCCAACTGTAGGGATCAATAAAAAGTAGTACATGACCTACTATAAATTTGGTATATTATTTTAATTTTAAATTGGAATTAAGTATAAACGAGGCAGAGTGGGACTTCGTCATGGGGGGGGGGGGGGGGGGGGGTAAATGAATGAAAATAATTGAGTGCATCGTAAAATACTAGTGTACATACACATGTACACTTTTACAATTGTAGATGGGTTGATTTAATTTTTTTGAGAGTTTAGAACAATTCAAAATAGAAATGTTTGAATAGTGCTTAGAAAATGAAAACTAATGCTATGAAATGATTTTTTTTTTTGTGTTTGATTTTGCATCACACAATTAAAAGAATACTATCTTATTAAATATTACCCCCCGTCTCTAAAAACTTGGCAAAGATTATCCAATACGGAAATTAATAAATTAAAAGCTGTGTGGTTGGGATTTGTGAAGATGAGAGAGATTTAACTACAACCACAAATTGTTTACTTAAAAAAGAATGTGCCAAAGTTAGTAGGACACTTAGAAAGATAAAGTTGACAAAGTTTTAAAGGACAAAGAGAGCGTGTCCTTTCAATCATGATTCTTCTCATGACCTCATTGAGATGCATTGTTGAAGTTTGCTTTCGCTTCATCATTGACAACCAATCTTGAATACATTGTCCTTTCTGTCATGATTCTTCTCGCTTAATTACTCCATTGTCAATGTATAAGCAATGACAATGGAGTAGTTAAGCAGAAAGAAATTTAAGTAAAGAAGTTTTTTTAAAATGTTACGAAATTATAACTTGAACTACTCCCGTCCCACTAACATTGCGACATGAAGATGGTTCAATTATTAAGAAAAGTGAATTTATGAGGTTGACATTGAATTGATAAAATAAGAATAAAGTACTATTGATTTAGAACCACACAAACTTTATCAGTTTGACATGAGACAATTTTAATGGGACAGATCGAAAAGGAAGGATTAAACAATCTTAACGATACAAAGGAAATAACATATTACTATCTGAGGAGTACGTTGAGTTGAGCAGCGTGGTAGCTAAAAATATGCAAATCATATCGTACTATTTTATATACCGGTCCTAAAAAGGATCCATAATGTTGTCGTGATCCTTTTTAGGATTAATGGACTGAGCTACCATCATTACTGGGGCAATGTCAACGACACGTGTGTGCATTGATTTGACAAGTTTGTTGTCAAGTCATTAGAGGTCACTATTAATGATGGGATGATTATTCAATAGTTGGAATTCACATATTCATTCAAAATCTCAAATGTTAGATGCTTCAGCTTCGGGCATTCTCTGATACTTAAAAAATTCTTCTAAGGTTTTGGACTCTAGCTGAGAGGGACTCCTCATCACCCAGGTTGAAACTCCACTCTCATTTTTCACTTCTAGAGCAATGGAGTGGGAGACGGCAATTATGAACTTTGAGACAGATGCCATTCTAGCTCGACAATCACTAAATTCAGCAAAACAAAAGCATCACCGACTTGACCTTGACCACAAACTGGGTCAGCTGGACCCCTTACAAATCTACTCAGAGAGGCAAGCCTCTACCAGAACTAGCAAGCAATAGGTTCTTCATCAAAGGATACTACACCAACCACTCAACACACCCCTTGGCTCGGAAAGGGCTTATACTTGGTTCTGTAGCTGTTTGGGGGCGGTTTACTCTTTTTTCATTTGCGAGTTTTTCGCCACATGTTTTTTCCTAATCGAGTTTTTGACGCGACATCATATATCATTATATCCCATTGCGGGCAAGGAGTAAGTTATTTTCTAAATTGGGCAAAGCACGATACTTGATAGTCCTGTTCAGATAAACACATTGGAAGAGCTTAGATTACTCCCTCTCACCTAGTCACCTAGAAGAGTTCTTACCTCGGGGAGTGACGGATTAGTGAAGGAGTATATTGTCATAGCACCTTAAGTCATATACATGAGTACATGACAGGCCGATGCCCTTCGCCAAGGCCAATATCTCATCATAAGCCCAACTCTATGCTAGCACGCCCCTTCCGCTTCAGGCCGAGCGAATTTAGTGAGATCGAGCACAGTGGTTGTCATTACAGATCCTACGCTGACACTACCGGATGAGGTTGAGCGTACTTAAACCCAGCAAAGCAAAAACATCCCCAACCAAGTAGGGGTGTTTGTCAATTTGATTTCGTCAGTTTCGGCTTTGATCGGTTTTGGATTTTAGTCAATCGGTTTTGAACTTTTAGTCGGTTTCAATTTTTAATCAGTCAGTTTTTGCAACTGTTAGAACATGAGAAACTGAGAATCAGAGTATCAGACCAGAAAACTTAGAATCATTTCAAGACATTAAGAGAGAGCTCATCTCATATTCTCATTCCGAGGAACTAAAATTTTCAACCTTTCATCAATTCTATTCCCAATTCTATATCATGTTGAGAAGAACAAGCTCAAAATAGAACTTCTTGTGGCAGGCTGGCAGCTATTTCTTTGAGAGTACACATGAGCAATCATTCTTGCTTCTTCCATATACCCACCAGTCCACCACGGGCTAATATATCAAGTTATCAAGCAACAAGTCACGTGATCAATAAATACCTTTACATAGGATTTTCCAATAACAAAATGAAAAATTGACAAGAATAATCCCACCTTTAAATAATCCCAAAATAATCCCACCTTTGCACCCCATCTTCTTTCATTAGACCCTGACCATGTTTTTTACTCTTTCTTTGAAAATTATACAAATAATCTCATCTTTCACTGTTTAATTATATCCTTATAAATTATTTATATAAGATTTTTAAAACAGGTAAAAAAAACTTGGTCAGGATCCAATTAGTGATGGCAACGAGGCGGATCGGGGACGGGTACACATAAAACCGGAACCGCCCCGTTGGATAAATGTTTGCCCCAAAACCGCCCCATTACCCATTCGGGTAATTTTTATTTGAACCGTACCCGCCCCAACGGGGAATCGGTTTATCCACGGGTAACCGTTTCCCCAAATGATACCAAATAACCAACTTTTTTTGGGAAAACAAATAACCAATTTTTAATCCTACTTGTTATTTATATATTCAAAGAACCCTAAAACATACAAAAATAAACATTTAAGCAATCAAGCAGACTGACCTAAATTCATTAGTATGACATACACCCAATATCTCTTGTAACATAATACTCCCTCAGTCCCAAATTGTAAGATACATTTACTATTCACTTGGTCAACACAAATCACTCTTAATCTTTTACTTTATATATCAAAAGTTTATGAAATGTGAATTATTTTTTGAAGGTTTTGTAGCGGTTTTAATGTAGTTTCTGAATATGTAAATTTTATTTTGTAAAACTAATTTGAGTGTTGACAGGGATCAATTTGCTTTATCGTCGGTCGAACATCGTAAACCGTAAAGTATCTTACAAATTGGGACGGAGGGAGTAAAAAAGTAGTAATCATCCCAGAATCCAAATTTGAAAAATAGGTTTAGGCCTATATTTAGTTTTAGGCCTAAAAAGTAGTATACTTTTTAGCATTATTTATATGATATATACTATTTATTATACACAATTTAGCATATATAGTTATTATTCTTATATATAAAAAGTTATAATTTATTAATAATGTTATCGATCGGGTAACGGTGCGGGTACCCGCACCACTAGTGAACGGGGCGGTTTCGGGGCGGATAACGGGGTGGATTAGTATAGAACCATAACCGCACCATTAACCATTTAAAAAATTCGGGAATTCCCCGCCCCGTACCCATTCCCCAGTCAAATCGGTTTTCCCCAGTTTGACCAAATCGGTTCGGTGTGGGTATCCAACGGGTCGTTCGAAATTGCCATCTCTAGATCCAATGAAAGAAGATGAAGTACAAATGTTGGATTATTTTGGGATTATTTAAAGGTGTGATTATTATGAGAAGACCAGTGAAACTGTGAAAGGTGAGATTATTCTTGTCAATTTTTCCATAACAAAAAGAAGTTCAAATACCTTTACATAAAATTTTCAAGCTTTACCCCTCATTTGCTATGTTATGTACATTCTTTCAAGGGTTGGTCAGGTCACTGTGCAGAGGAATGACAAGACACAAGTTAAAGGGTACATTTCAAAGTCAATTTTTGGGTATTAAAAGTAATCATATTTTTTGTACGTAGAATCTAATTTTTAAATTAGGATTTAGTACTCCGTAGTACTCAAGCGAAAACCCCCAAAATAGGAAACTATTCATTTGGGATGAAGTACAAAACGGAAGTCGGGATTTACATTCCCATCAAATGAGTTCCAGGTTTCAACACCCCAACACACAGATACAAGATGGTGAAAGTAGTCATAATTTCACAAAACATGAAGCTTGATATCTGCGATGTGTGAACCAAGATTAATTGGAACTTCAAGAGAGACTGTCAACCAGCGTTAACTCGTTAAGACATCATACAAGTTGGAACTTCACGGGAAGTCACAAACCATGCAGCAACCAACAAGAACTGCATAGAGCACAAACCAGCATTATGACCTTTTCATCCAGCAAGTGTCCCAAACTATCTTTATAAATCTTCTACTCTGTTTTTACTTAAGCCACCATGTTTTCAAAAAGTTCAAGAATAAAGTTGTATGGTTAAAGAATAGTGTAGATGTTAAACACTAGGAGCTAAAAGATGAAAATGTAAAAGATATTATGTCCCATTTTTAATAAATTTTTAATCGTAAAAAAAGTGAAGCAAATAACAAAACTTTGATAAAATGTTGGAGTAAAATAAACGGATGGTGTGATCTGTATGAGTGTTCAAAAGGCATAAACATGACATCCCGGGTATGGCATCAAACATTTTCCAAACCAAGGCATAAGTCTGATTTTAGCAGCATAGGGGGATTTTGTAACAATTATGCTCAGCTCTAGGATAGTAGGATCTAGAATCAGACCATCAACTGTGTTAATTCCATGGTGGAGTTTCAAGTCTGTTTTGGAGCAGAATCATCATCACATGAAATCTGTCCATTGCTTTTTTTACTTCGATATCTGTGACTTGGAGAAGGGGATCGAGACACGGATCTGGAATGCTGCCTGGCATGCCTTTCCTTTGATGTTTTAATCCTCCTAGGGGACAGAGATCTTGATAGTGATCTGGATCTCCGAGGCGAATTATAGGCCACCCTTTTATGCTCTCTTTATTGGGCATAGAAACAAACAGCAAGGCACATTAAAACAGGATATTCAAAAGCAGGCATATCAGCTGTCAAAAACATTTGGTAATTTTCTTTTGAACTGAACTGGACATTCAAAGATACACAGGAAACCCAAAGATCCCTATTAACAAACACTAAAGAATGAAGAAATAAAAACATTCATCAAGGCCATTACCTGTATATATTTTTCAGTCTTGCTAAAATTACATATTGATGCAACTATTGTTTAAGGCTGACTGAACTTGGGGGTAGCTTCATATTATCAGTGGTTCCTTGGGCAAATCCCATCACATCTCAATCAGCAATATTAAAAAGCTCATGCTTCTTTGAAGATGATTTCTTTCTTTGGCCAACTAAGCTTTATATTCTTTCTTTAACTGAATGATACGCAACATCAATAGAGTTTGTTAATCAAATATAAATTTTATAAATAGAAAAGCTATGTTTTTGTTCATCAGTCCACATGTCATTTGAACTACTTCCATAAACACAATCTTATGCAAAGAAGTCCTTGAATAAATATCCTATGGATAGTCGGAAGTTATGTACCAAAAGAGGTATGTTCAAACAAAAAACACCAGCAAAAGCTTTTACAAATATGTGCTAATATAACCTTGTAATTTATGATTGAAGTCCATCCTTTTGTTCCTTTATCAGCCCTAATTTCTACGATCCTCTTAGATTCTAGAAATTTTAGATAGTAAATTAGCTCTCAGATGCTTCTACTATAAAAAGTAGAGTGCATTAGATCGATTTACTTTAAAAAAACACAACTGTGAATGATAAAAGGAAAGCAAAATATCACAAAGTTTACTGATAAGCACAGGAAAACTAGAATAAAATAAAGCACTTGTTGAAAAGAATCCAACAATCAGTAATTTTCTTTTAAGACCAAACTACATGTTGCGCAAATGATATCTTAAATAGAGTTGTTTCACTAAGGTACAATTTTTAAAATTTTGGTTTGGTAAAACTATTGGAAATCATCAATTCCAGCCGCATAATTATATCTCTTTGTTAGTTCAACTAAATCCAACATATTCAACTTGTTTCACACTTTTTTGTAGAAATAACTATATCAAATAGTCAACTTCTCTTTGTTAGTTCAGCTAAACCCATCATATTCAACTTGTTTCACACTTTTTTGTAGAAATAACTATATTAAATAGTCAGTTTCTCTTCATTAAATTTGACTTTTTCAGGAAATAAGTTTTCAATGTTGGGACAGGAGTACATAAGATTAGCACCGATCTAACTGTATCGGCAATTTAAAAGAAACTCATTTAAGTACAGGGCTGTGACAGAGCCGAGGACAACCTAGTTGCCACACTCGAGTTCAAGCCCTCAGAAGTTCACTTAACTTGATTGATTTTGACTGGCGAGAAAAAGTTTGATTGATAGTTGTATTTGCGTTAACTAAGCACTCAAAGGCAATATATCCTTACAGACTTGAACCATATTCATCTTCTGCCTTTCAAAACCAAACGTCCAAAAGTAAAGAAGCCTTAAAAGCACCTAAATTTCCCACTCCAGCTCAGTTATCCAGAAGCAGGGTTTGGTTCAATGTGATTCAGTTAATAAAATTACAATCAAATGGGTCAGTTAATAATTTCACTTGTACACCCAGGTGGGAGTATGGAGGAAAGGAAAAAACGTAACAGACACATTGTGATTGTACAGCGAAAACGCAAATAGATGATGAGTGAACTTTGATGTATGGTAGGAAGAAAAATGTCTATATTGAAATTAATTACAAACAGACCTTGACGCTTGTCGTGCTGGAGTGGGTGACCGTGAATCAGCTGCCACAGAAAATCATAAGCTATTATTCATTGAGGAAACTTACGCAAAATAAACATAACACTACACTTCTACTTATCATTCATCAATTAATTAGAATATAGTAAGAGCATGTCATGTACTCGTGTACTTATACACCCATAGAGGCACTCGTATTGTACATACATAAGTGTGAGTGAGTGTGAGTGTGAGTGTGAGTGCAAGCTCACAGATGAATTCCTACCAGAAAAATCATTTCGGAAATAACAAGTCAAAATCTTTATTGCTTTTTTTTTCTAAATACAATTTCATTTACATAATCCATAGACCTAAAATCTTTATTTGTTTCATTTTTCGTTGATGAAGTAAAATTTCATTCACATATGCATAAAGAAGGTACATGCAAATATGCAATGTACTTCCGCAGTTCCACTTACACACTAAGCTCATGAAGCATAATGAATTTCATAAACTGCTGTATTCAAATTTTAGCACAAGATGCTGGAATGTTCTTGTTAGCTAAAATTAAATAAATCAAGTAGAAAGTTAACTAACAGTGATATCTTCGCCTTGGGGATCTTGACGGACTGTGTCTTCTTGAATTCCGTCGATGACTATATAGCATCACAACAGAAAAGGTTCAAGATGCATCTGTGATGAGCGCAGTGCTAATTGCTAATAGACACAAAAATAAACAAGATAGACGCCATATATCTTCAGAATAACAGCATAGGAATACCTTGTGTGTGTGGTAAGCCTACGCATTTCATGTGGCGTCTTTCTATTTTCTTCAGCATATTCAATTTGAATTTCACGCCCACCAATGACAGTATGATTTAAGCATTTCTTCGCCTCAGCTGCATCTTCAGGATAACGAAACTTCACAAAGCCAAAACCCCGGGGTTCTCTATATTGCAAAAATTAACAAATGCCAGGTGGAAATGTGATCCAGCAAAACCAGAACCTCAAACTACTGAAAATATTAATACAGGAGCCAAAAAACGTAGCATACCCACTGTAGTAATTTTTCGGTAAGTAAACATCTCTTATCGGACCAAACCGCTCGAAAGGTACTCTGATATCTTCTGGCCTAAAGAAGGACGAATAATAATAAGGATTTCATATTCTCTACCAAATAAATATGAACACCAAACTCATACCCATTTGTTAAAAAGGGTTCAATAAAATGCAATGAAAAAATTGTATTGTAGAAATATAGAAAATATAGAATGCTCTGAAGAGGGGTGTTATTGGAAAATAGTCTCTCTCACTCTCTACACATACATGTGTATATATTTTCACACATATGTATACTCCTATATAATACATACATATATATATACACACACATGCATGCCCACATTCACATATACACTCACACACACATATAAATATCATTTAAAATGATATTTTATTTAGATAATGAAAAGGTACACCTTTTGTCTCACAATTATTAGGTCTTGGACATTCATTATTTTGGACATTCATTATTCCTACTTTTGGTGAATGACTGAATATTTTGCTTCTTTTGATCCTTTTACTCCGGCCAAAATTAACAGGCTATTGTCATGTAAATTACAATTACTCATTCTAGGAGGATTTTAGGGTTCACATTTTTCTATAGGTGTACAACAACATTGTGATTTTTTTGATGAATTTGTCACGATTTTGTTTAGAAATATCAGAGTGACCTGATATCCATAGGGATAAATAATCATGCACCAATTACCAATAGTTGATGAAAAACCTGAACCAAATAAGGGATTGACCTAAATATTGTGAGAAAGAAGTGGACGAGTCCTTTTAGAAAATAAAACGTCTCAAATGCTTCATTGTTGAGAAAATATCAAGAAATTGTGTTTCTGAAAGGATTTTCGATTGTGTTGTCTCACAAGGCTTCGCATGTATCATAAAAAGAAATGTGCTGATAAAAAACAACGTATATAAAGAAGAAAAGAGACCTGGAGCTGAGAGAAATATTTCGAACGAGAAGGCCAGAGGGAGCAGGGGAATGGCGGTCTGCACGGCGATCGCGAGGGTCTTCGTATCGCTTGCTTGGCACAGGGCTGTGGCTCCGACTGCGGCTTCGATGCCTTCCCATTCTTTGCGAGGTTCTCATAAAACCCTAAACCCTAACATAAGTGTCTTCTTCAAACGGGTGACCTGAACTCATAATCACGGGGTAGGGATGGCATGAGCCTCTCAAGTGTCTTTTTTTGTTTCCTTTTTTTGGCAACATTTTTTTTGTTTCCTTTGTAACTTATGATGTTTTGTTTTGGACTGAAATTTGTGGGTTTGGTCTGATCTGAACTAGTCAGTTAAATGTTTGGGCACTGTGTATTTTGATCTGGTTTGATTTGATCTGCTCTGGTATGGTTTGATCTGATTTGATCTGATCTGGGATTGAAAACAATCCAAAAGAAAACACCCTTAGACTTGCTTATTCTTTTTTGGGAAAATCATTAGATAAGTTCTCCACTTCTCGTACTATAGTCAAAATGTCGATTAGGCTCTCGCACTTCAAAAACACCCAATTGAAACCCCGAACTGTTCAAAAATACCCAATTGAGACTATTAGCCGGTATAATCTCGGTTTGTCGGTTGACGACTCGCATGGCAGCCTACGAGGCAATTCTCTTTTTCTTTTTTCCCTTTTTTTCTTTTTTATTTCACTTTTCTCTTTTCTTCTTCTCTTCCATCTTTCTTCTACGTTCGCCCCAAGGTTAAAACCTCTTCTTCTCTTCCATCTTTCTTCAACACTCGCTAGCCACGACCTTCTGCAAGCAGCAAGCATCATCGCCGCCCACCAGAAGTCCACCACACTTGTGTCGCCGACAGACGTCACCTCACCCAGACGCATGTTCTTCACTGCACTCTATCGCTGCGGTGCGGCCCTTCACTTTACTCCAGAAATCCGGTGAACTCCAACTCCAGCGACGTAATTAAAATAAAAGTAAGTTCAGTGTGCGAACTGCTCTGACCATCGGCGCAAGGGCAATGGCCAGCAGTGCTACTAGGAAAAAGGCTGTGGGGGGCCTGCTCAAAAGAGAGGACAAAAAGAGGAAAAGAGAAGAGAAAAAAGGAAAAAAAGACAAAGAAAAGAAAAAGAAAAAAAAGGGAAAACTGTCAAATAGGTCCTCGAACTTTCATAAAAAGGTCAATTAAGTCCTTCTATAGGAGGTTTTGTCTGGCCGTCGCGATTTGGGGCAGTTCCCGGTGGAATTTTTTGATGAATATTTTTTAGCATCTTATTCACCAAGTCTAGTTTACTCATACCAAATTTCAACTAAAAATTCAATCGGGAACACATTCAAATTAATTCTTGAAGATAACTGCGCATTTTTGCGTTCTCGAATTAATTGTAATGCGCTCCCGATAAATTTTTAGCTGAAATTTGGTATGAGTAAACTAGACTTGATTAATAAGATGCTAAAAAAATTTCATCAAAAAATTCCACTGGGAACCGCCCCAAATCGCAACTATCGGACAGAGTCTCCTATAGAAGGACTTAATTGACTTTTTTATGAAAGTTCGAGGCCTATTTGACAGGTTTCCCAAGAAAAAAAGGAAAAGAAACAGAATTCCATGTGTTTGATGGGGGTTTAAGAGTTCGGGAGCTCAATTGGGTGTTTTTCAAGTACGAGGATCTAATCGCCATTTTCGTTATAGTATTGGGGCATATTTGATAGTCTTCCCTTCTTTTTTCAAAAAGTGACTTATATCAAATAATAAAACTTAGGCAATTTATAAAAGAGTTTTTATTTGCTTTCGAACAAGAGTTAGAGTCAATTATCTTAAAAAACAATATGACTCGTTGATTCTATACGAGTACCCACTATGCTAATCAGTTCCTCTTTCTTCCACATCATTTTCCTCCAAAAACTTAATCGACTCTAACCTATCGCATTTTCTCCCCACTATGGTGGCCTAGGTCACTTAAAATTTTTTACTCTCTCTCTCCCTCTCCTTATTTTTGATATATTTCATCATTATTAATTTATTTGATTTGTAAAAGGAATATAAGATCCACATTTGATCCACTATAATTATTTATTGTGGAAAAATAAAAATAAGCATATTTAAAAAAAATGGTACACCCTTAATTCATATGTGACCCACATTATTAACGACAATAAGTTGATATAGTACACAACAAGTTGTTGCAAGAAGTGATAAAATTGCGTTAAATGGTCAATTTCAGGCAAAATTATGAGTGAGTCTCACTTCCAATTTGGGTCGGGTCAAAGTGATTTCGGATTCTTCTTGCTAAGTGTAACGATTCGAATATATGATACACTCAAAACGCATAACAGGTGAATGAGAAATTGATCCTCGAAGTTCACTCGGTGAACGGTCACCAACAGCAGGCTGCTAGTGAACGGTCGCCAGCAGGCTACTAGTGAACTTCGAAGTGACCAAACATATCCTTCATTGGTGTCTATTTACAGAGGGGGAATATCTATTTTTTGGTATTTTTTTTTTACAATGAATTAAATTTAATGCATAATAAATGTAAATGGGGAGTTGGGGGTAGTTGATGGGGTTGGTGGCCACCTGGACTGGGAGGAGAATTCCTCCGCTCGCATGCAACTCCTTTTTTAAAATTAAAAGCCACTTGGCTTTCTTTAATTGGCTAGTAAAAAAATTGTCAGCTCACACTTTCAACCTTGAATCTTGATCGATCAATTTATGATCTGCCATAGTGGGGATCAAGTGCCATCAATTTCTTTTTTGATTCCCAATGACCTCCCATAGTGGGTGCTCTAATAGGCTTAACTGAGTCAATAACGGATGCAATAGCTCATAACCCAAACTAAACTCTCGAGTTTTGCTATTAGAAAATAAAAAACATAACTAAAACAACATCCAGTTCGAAGTAAAAGATAACAACAAAAGCAACATAATTTAAATAATGATGTCTCCTCATAATCACGAGCAACCTAACTCTGTATCTTCGTGAATGCAACCTCTTTAGACACCTAGACGGGCCTGGTAACCAACACCCGCCCCACCCCGTTTTTTTGGCTCGTCGAGGGTCATTCCTTCCGTCATTTGATCCCCTTTCCCCGCTCCTCCCACTTGCGCTTCCAGCCTCTTTTGATCCCCGGGTTATACCCATTACTAGGTATCCATGTGACTCTGACTTGATAGTACTCAGTTTCAGTTACCGTCACTAGCCACTGAAACTCCTTCTTGATTCCCATGCTCCTGGGTTTGCCTATATTGAAGTTGTGGTTTACTCGCTCCAAACAGATTTGATACGCATATAGGCATCCCACATTCCCACTTGCCCTCACACTGATTATCATCCAATTCTATAAACCCTCCCAAATAATTTTCAATTCTTTTAGCTGTTTCTAAGGTCGTAAGACCACGCGGCACATTATGCACCTGAACCCATAATTCAACCAAGTTCAAAGGAACCCTAAGGGGGATACCCATGATTAAATTGCTCTTAAACCCAATAGATTTTGCTCAAACAATCACAGACCACTTTCAAGAACATAGTTCGTATCAATAATGTGATAAAACGTAAAGAGATACCTTCGATCACATATTTCTTTGATCAAAACTCCCCTACCAAGGCGCCATAATGCAGTTATTTGTTCTCTGAAAATCTGGAATTTCACCATCTTGATAGTGATCAGTGTGTCAACCACCGAAAAAACCACCAGGTTGTTGTCCTCCTTACCACCATTTACACCATCGCCAAACACCATCTCATGCTCCGCCACCCATATCTCCTTGTTATCACGTACACCACCACTGGCTCTGCAATTTCCTCCCTCCACCGTCTGTCCTCTCCTTCAGAGTAGAAGGAATTTGATAAAATCCATGGAGATTGTTTCAGTAATGGTGAACGAGATTAGAAGATATTAGACTGCCCAATCGTCCGTTTCCATCGCTCTCGTCGACGAGAATCGCATCACTCCTTTATCCCATTTATTTCTTGAATTTATATTTTTAAAAATTATATTTTTTTAAAAAAAGAAAATTTGGGATTAGGAGGTTGGGTTTGCCACTGAGATTGCTAGTGTTGGAGGGAGTGACGTTAGGGATGTAATGGGCCATCGGTGTTGGAGATGTAAAGAAGAAGTGAAAAATTGCATCTTGTTGTTGTTATTAGAGAAATGATTGGTGTTTTTGGGACATTTACTAGGCCGATGTTGCTTTGGTGGGCAGCGATTTCGCGAGGTGGGCCAACTATAGTGGTTAGGGAGGCAAGGGTTGTGTTGGGGTTGTGGAGATGGGATTGAGGACGAAGCATTAGCGGTGTGGCGATTAGGTAGGCGGGAGGGACTAGGGAGTGGTTGTGGCAGGGATAACGATCGGATGTGGGGTCAGGGAGGAATTGGGGCAAGGTGCGGCGACTGGGAGTCGATGATAAGGGCGGGGGGGGGGGGGGGTGCAGATAATGGCGGAAGAGGGGATTTGGAGTGAAGGCCATGGTGGTGGGCGTTGGGTCAAAGGTTGGGGTGGTGGTGTGTCACTGCCAATTAGGGCGCCGAGATTTCAGGATGGGTTAAGCGCCTACAGACACTATAGTAGTGATAAGTCACCAGGGTGCTAGGGGAACAAAGGAGTCGGAGGTCACTAGGTGAGTTAGTCACCCGGCGGATATTAATCAGAGAGTAGGTGGCCGGAGAAAAAGATCACCTCAGAAGTATCCGGGAGGTCATTGTGATCGGCGGCGGTGACCATTAGCCAAAAGTGGCCACTGTGACCAACGGTGGTCAGTGGGGCAGTGGTCATTGCTCGGGTGGTCGCTAGGGCGGTAGTCACTACGTCAGGTGCTCATTATTTCCTTTTTGTGGACTCAACTCACTTTTTTAGTTTTTCTTGTTTTTTGAAGGATAGAATAGAAAACAATCATATTATCCTTTACTTTGTCGCCTTCTTCTTTTGAATATGGAAAACCCTTGAACATGGGTCTATACATCTTTCGGAGTGTTCAATCGGGATCAGATTGCATTGATGTCCACCCTGTGTAATGCTCAAATTCTTCATCATCGTCTCAAATAAGAAAAAGTCTGAATTCTATGAGCAAACAATTATTCTCCAAGGAGAGTCATTGAAGTCCGAATCAGATGACATAAAAATAAGACCACTTTCATATATACGAAAGTGGCGAAGTTGTCAAAGGAATCCATAGAGAGCGCAGATGTGTGTCAAACTGGGGGAAGGGGTGATTAATTAACCCAATTGGGCGCTTGGGATAGATTTGGGGTTGGGAATCGTTGAGTTAAAATGAGTTATATATGAAGGCTTTGATATATATTTCATTCGTTATCATTTGTGATTTAAGTAAATGAGAATTTCTTTTTCAGAGAACTATAAAGGAAAAGTGAATGCTTCTTTTTTAGACGGGGGATTATTTATCAGTCTAGTATAATATTAAATGTATTTTTATACCACATTTATCCTTTCTTATATATCCATGAAGTTAATATTTCTTTATTAACTGTAAGTTTGTTCTTTCGCCCTCAGCACTTATGAAGTATAGGTACACTTCCAAATTCTTAAAAGTCTTTCATTTATTGATGCACTGTACAAAATATAAATTATTCACGGGTTCATTTTTATTACATTTTATGTACTCTCTGTATTTTTTTGTTTGCTACATTTTCTTTTTTTGGATGTATTCAAAAATATGCTACACTTTCCCTTTTTGGTAAGTTTTTTCCCTTAAAAATACTCAACTACTCTTACATTTTCTAACTTGTATCTTCTCTTTCATATTTTCCACCATCTCTCATACTTTTTTTACACTATTCATTACCCCTACTATTTCACTCTTAAAAAATGTCACAACACCTATTGTAGGAAACAAAAAAATACGGAGGGAGTATCAATTTATATTATACGAAGTATTCAACTTTAATCTTTTGTGATTGAGTAATAAACAATTTAATGTACTATCTAAATATATAAATATCAATTTTTAATTCTAAGGCGTTAATGCTAAGTAGAAGTTAATTTTTCATTAGTCAAACCTCATGTCTCAAACGGATCCGGAACCTCTGCCTTGCCGCAAGGTAGGGTGCCCGGCTTTATTAAGCCGTCCGATCAACAAACCAACGGCTGGAGATCTTGGAGCTCCGCATCTCGAGATCTTGGAGCTCCGCATCTTGCCGCAAGGCACCTCTGCCGCACGGCAGAGGATCTGAATCCGTCTCAAACCGTATGGAATGGAAGGAGTGTCAGAGTGTGATATAAGTTCCATCAAAACTACTTTTGAGATAAAATGAGTAAAATTTTGAATTAGCTCTTTTCAATGTCAGTTCCATCACTTCCATGTATGTGTAAAGCTAAGACCATTTTGTGGTGCATGAACGTTTAGGAGTCAAAAATATTTCTAGTAGGATTTTTTACTCCTAATTTATTTACAAAACTCCTAATTTAGTTACACGGTCCCTAGTTACACTGATTCAGTTGTTGATCCACATGTACTGATTTAGTTACACGAAAGTACTCATGAACAACATGAACAACAAATGGGTCAATGTAGTCCAATCTCCGCCACTTGCATCGTGTAACAGCCTAGGTTATATTGTTTGATGATTGTAAGAGAAGGATGATGATTTAATCACTTGGAACCAAATAATTTAAGCTTTAAACCATAATGCTAAATGGCTACAAAGATGATTATACCCGATCCAAACCGTATAATGGCAGAATATTGGTATAGATTTACTGTTCTAGCTACCTGATACAAACATCTTTTGTAATACTTTCGTGTTCAGACCGAACTGTTTTTGGCTCTTCAAATCTTTGGATCCATCTCATGATCATGGTACAGGCTAGCCTCTAGTGCAGTAGAAGTGCTGTTTAAACAATAGTTCTCTTCATTTGTGGGTTAGCTTGTGCGCCATAAGCTAATGGTTGCCTGGATTTCCTCCAGTGTTTTTCCTTTGGTTTCTGGCACAACTTTTGCCACAAACAGCACCGTAAGCAAGCAAGCGATGGCGTAAAACATGAAAGTGCCTGCAAAAATAGATAATTCCATGAAAAGTGAAATCCAAAAAAACTGAAAATGACTGGCATCAGAACTCTGAAGTTAAACGTTCTCTATTGCAGGATCCTCCATTCCTCCTTTTAAAAAGGATATATGATATGGGTAGTAAGAATGCAGAAAGAAGTGTGACTGCTTACCAGTGGAACTCCATTCCATCATAAAGTTGAAGGTGTAAGACACAGCCCATGCACCTAACCAGTTCACCAGAACAACCAAACTTCCAGCAACACCCTTTACATGAATAGGGAATATCTGGAAAGTTTATTGTTCAGATGTTCAATGTTTAGAGGTGATGGAAACGATGAAAAAAGTCAAAACTCATATATGAAAGTTATTACAACTCATATGATCAAACGAAATATAATACCTCTGACATTAGAAGCCAGGGAACTGCTCCCATTCCAATTGAAAATGATGCTATGTATATCTGCTCAAAAATTAAATGAACGGTTTTACGGTCTATACAATCTCAATGGAAGTTATTTGAGAGTTTTGATGTGGAGATATTTACCAGTACACCAGATACAGCTAGTACTGGAACATAATCAAGGAACATACTTTGACCCTGCTGAGTAAACAAATTATCTTACATTTCCAAATACATTTAAACTCAATAGTACATTAACCATTTATTCTTATTGAATTTCATTTGTCACCGGTTCACTTGATCCCAACAATACCTTTAGATAGAAAGAAGCTCCTGTTAGAAAGCAGCCAATGAAAGTTCCTGTTGATGACACCTTAAGAATATTCAAGAAAAACATGTCTTAGAAAACACGCCACCCACAAAAAAAAATCAAAATGTCAAGTAATCTCATAAAGGCCAAATAGAAGGTGTTGAGCTACTCCTCTCAGATCGATTCGTTTTTTAAAAATGTGAACCCAGATATTAAGATCGAAGAATTAATTCGAGGAACTGCATTACCATAAGAAGTGGTCGTCTTCCGGATCTATCCATCAACATTGCCCCAATGACAGTAATAGGAACCTGTTGAAACAACATCAATCAATTTCAGTTTGGCCTAGGAAGACATGAAAATGCTGAGATTTGTCAATGCCAAGTACTTCTGGCAAACCTGCACAATTGCATAGGCAATAGTCCCAATGTTTCCATTAGAAAGTCCTGCAGATATCATTTACAAAAAGGGGGTTAATTGTGAGTAGCTCCACTCTGACACTAGACAACTAGATATATTAAACTTCAGAAGATAAACGACTGGTTAACCAAAAGTCGCAAATCGGGGCAATTACCAGCTGCTGAAAAGGTTTCGCTAGCGTAGAAACCAATGCCATTGATCCCAATTGCTTGTTGGAACACCATCAATCCAACACCAATCTACAAACAAACCATTTATACTCCGGTCCAATGAAGAAAGTTACACTGATTATATTATTATAAGAAAGGAAGTCCGGGATACTTACAATTACGGAACGAATGTATTTGCTGTCAAACAAGTCCAGGAATCTGGCTTTGGGTAGACTTTGGAGAGTCTCAACATAAACCTGGATGTCGGCAGCTTCTTGAGTGACATTGGCATTTCTACCACGAAGTCTTTGCAGTGCTATTTCAAAATCTTTCTCCCGGCCTACTTTAGCCTGAAATAGTTGCTTATTTATATCAAAACTCCCAATGAACAACAAAGAAAGAAGCGAAGTGGCCAGTTAAAATACTTACCAGCCATCTCGGAGATTCAGGAATAAAGATCAGACCAACAAGCAAGAGCATGCACGGAAGAATTCCTGCAAAACTATCACCGTTAGTATAGAAAAGAGGCTATGAGTTTGCTTTAATTTTTCCCACAGATGAGCTGAAAAGTACTTAATACTCCCTAGTTTTTTTTTAAATATGCTCCCTAGTTGATATTGTTTGAAAATTGAAGTGACTTTGAAAACTAATAAAATAATTTTTGTGTGATCGAAAAAAGTGAAAATAAATTTATAACACATCATTCATACTTTAAATTTATTGCTTTAAAATGCTTAAATTTAAAAACACTAAGTATCCGTTTGAAAACAGAACTTGAACTTTATTTCAAGGAAAAGAACATAAAATTACTCATCTCAAATTTTACATCACTTTGTTACTTCTTAATTTACTGGTATGAGACTTCTACACAAAATGTTCTCGTTAAACTCTGATTTCATTATAAAGTAATATGTTTGGAGTAATATTTATTATATCGAGTTTTGTTTTTATTTGAAGTTTAGTAGAATATTGAGTGTAAATTTTAATATGTAAGCTTTAATTACTAATAATTTTCAAATATTGCCTGATTTTTTTTAATTTAGAAGTTAGAGTCTGAGCACTCTTCACTCAACTACTCCTAAATACAAAGCACACATGTGTTAAATGATTTAATTGAATCAAGCAAAATTCACAATTCAAACATTTGAAGTCTTGCAGTTTCTTCCACATGGGACCCATTTTAATAATTTTGCCATTGGTGCTTATGGAGCATCAATATAATTTCTGCAATTGATGAACGCAATTTTTTATTTGTGCGTAAATTAAATAAATTTTTCGATATATAATTAATTTTAATGCAAATGAAAATCCTCACCGATAAGTGCCAAATATCTCCACGTCATAACAGCCCCAAGTAGATACGCTACTGAGGCGCCACAAACAATCATAAGCTGCACGCAAATAAAAAATTATTAAGCTCTCAAAAAAAAATTGAGTGACCTATAATTATTGTTCATCATAGGAGTAATAATAAACCTTATTATTAATATTATTATCATAAAAAAAATAAGTGTTGTCACCTGATTAATTGTTGTTAGTCCACCACGAAGATTCTTTGGAGCGATTTCAGCTATAAATACTGGAACCTATACAGTTGCAAAATATCAATTAAGACGACGGATGTAGAGTTGGTGCACTTAAATTTTCATTACAATAATATTAATCATTAAGTAGTCGAATATATTAGAAAGTCCACGATTTTAGCTTACCACAAAAGAGAATATTCCTATGCCAATTCCTGTGAAGAACCTCCCCACATCAAGAGACCATGATCCCTTTAATTAGATAACACCAAAAGTAGTGTATATTAAGATTGATATATCACATATTGGGGATATAGGGGAACTCTTCCGGTACGGTATACCTTACCGGAGCCTCCGTGCGGCCTCCACGTTTTGAGGGACTTCCCGGTGGAATTTTTCGATGAAATTTTTTGAGCATGTTCTTCATCAAGTCTAGTACATCCATACCAAATTTCAGCAAAAAATTCAATCGGGAAGGTAGTCAAATGATTTTTGGAAGATAACTGCACCCTTTATATACATTTAAAACGCAGTTATCTTCCAAAAATTGTTTGGCAGCCTTCCCGATTGAATTTTTTGCTGAAATTTGGTATGGATGTACTAGATTTGATAAAGAACATGCTCAAAAAATTTCATCAAAAAATTCCACCGACAAGGCCCTCAAAACGTGAAGGCCGCACGGAGGCTCCAGTAAGGTTTTCCTCACATATTGTATCATAACAATAAAAATAATAACAGGCCGTTTTGTAGATTGACTTTTATCCTATGTTTTTTTACTCCAAGGGACAAGAGAGGGTGGCTGTGGATGGGGGGAGCTTGGGTTAAACAAGGATGAAATTCTCTCATGGAATTTCGAACTCCAAACCTCCCAAATGGAAGATCAATGGAAGAATATATGAAACATCACTAGTTAAGTTGGACCACTTCCTCTCACTTTTAGCCTATGTTCATACGTATTTATGTAAAAAAATCACCAAACGTCTAGCATTTGGACAAAAATTAAAATAATTCAACTTTTATTTTACATGCAAGTCAACTTTGATCAAGTTTTACAAGAAGGGTGGATTATTATTTAGATATTGAATTTTCATGACATTTTAATTTATTGCGAAGTATCAAATAACCAAAGAATAAATTAAAAAATCAAATCCTGAAAATATTACTACGTATAATTTATTTCAAAGTAAAACTATAAAATATAATTCATGTACGATAGTATAATTTTTATTAATAAATTAAATATATTATAGGTCAAAATGTCTCACCATTGTCAAAAGAAGGTGTTTTCAACTCCAGAATGAAGTTGAGTAACTAATGTTAGAAATAAATGACAATGTTCACGGAAAATGACATAAATGTTATGGGTGTTTTTATTTGAATTGTTTTCAGTTCCAGATCAAACCAAACTTAAACAGACTAAGAATGTTTTTACTTGAACTTAAATTTGCTGGTCTGATCTGATTTGATCTCGTAAACGTCTGGTCTCTGTGTATTTTATAACTATCCAAGTCTGATCTGGTATGGGATTGAAAACAATCCAAGTAAAAACATCATAGATTAGACCAGACATAAACAAATCAGACCAGATCAGACTAGACTTTTATGTTTATAAAATACACAGAAACTAGACATTTATCAGACCAGACCAGTTTAGACTTAAATAGACCAGATCAGTAAATTTCAATCCAAGTAAAAAACATCCTACGTAGAGAATATAACTATTTTTGCAGAAAAAATAAATAATTTTTTTTCTTCTAAAAATATGGCAAAATTTCGCGGAGTATTTAATTAATTAATTTGAGAAAAGGGGCAAATAATCATTTCACTTAAATGATTATTTGCCCCTTTTCTCAAATTAATTAATCCCTCAAACTATTAATTAATCAGTCCATGCAATTTTGGGCAAATAATCCCTCAAACTATTTGTGTTTTTGCAATCAGGCCCATGAACCGGAAGACTTGCAAATACACTCCTCAACTCGTTAAATATTAAGCCATAAAACCTTTTTACCTGCTGGTGCCGGTAATTAGCCGCACCATCAGGTAAAAAGGACTGATTGAATGATGTATTTGCAAGTTTTCCGGTTTATGGGCCTGAATGCAAAATTGCAAATAATTCAAGGGTTATTTGCCTCTTTCTTCAATTAATTTTAATTTCTCATTCCCTACCCACTGCCAGTCTGCCACCTTCAAGAACCATTGTCAACGACTGCCGATGGATACCCACCAGGCCACCAGAAATTATAAGTCACTTGAATTCTTTTTGAGAAAAAAATATCCTTTTTTTATTAATTTGCTGGAAAAGATTCTCGCTTTCTACGACAGCAGAAACATCTATGTCGGTGGCAATCAGATAGATAGTTGATTACTTGTGTACTAAAATGTTGGTGACATGATATGATATACTCCGTATTAGTAGTGATGTTCAATGTTCATAGTCTTCCAATTTTATTATGGAGTACTTGTTAGCCACATTTTTGCCTTAAAAGCAGTCACTTTTTGGTATTGAATTTCAGTATAATAATAGATAGTACTTCGTATATGAGAAAAAGCCATATTCATATGATGTCATTTTTGTGATCATTTGAACTTTAAATGTGAGCTTTTTAAAATTATTCAACTATTATAATCACAAAAAAATTAAATTAAAAAAAAACAACAGCTTAAAATTAAAAGTTTTAATAAGATGGTTCTCATAATTCATAAAACATTAAAAGTCCGTCCACACACATACATCCTCCATTGTTTTTTAGTTGCAACATTCTCTTTTTTCACGTTTGCCAACGCACAAGTTTAACCGTCATTATATTTAATTCCACATTAGTAAAAATAAAACAAAAATCAGATTATAAAACTTAGTAATGAGACGAATTTAACATTATTTTTCAAAAAAAAAAAATAATTCACATACATTAATAAATAAAATGAAGTCAAAGTAAAGTGTATGAACAGTGTATATATTTCAATGTTGAAACTAATGCGTATTTCAATGTTGAAACTAATGCGATACGGAAGATAGTGTAGATTAGTTTTACATAGTTTTCAACATCTTAGCTAGGAATTTTTTGATAACACGTGTCTTGTGGGTGTGCGAAAGGGAAAGTTTCTCTATCGCAGAGATAATCCAAATCGGGGCGGGGAATTTTTTAGCTAAGATAACATCTTAGCTAAAAAACGGATAATTCATTAGTCTTGTTAAAGCTTTGTTTTTTTGGTTTATTCAAAAATCGCCTTTTCAAACTCTTGTACGGAATAATTGTATAGTTGATACGGAGAGTTTTTAAGACAAGTTATAATCAATTTTATTTATAATTGTATCAAATTGAGAGAATATTTATCCACGAAGCGAAGCTAAGGTGGGCAATATCTATAGATATAATTCTAAGTAAGTATAATGACTTCTTTGATCTAGTAATAGTATAAAGAGTGTTTAAATCTACTTCTAAAAAGTGTTTATGCTTTTTCGAAAAGCATAAACAAATATTAAAGTGTTTGGTTTATACTGCACAATTACTTTCAAGTACTCTAAATTACTCATGAAACAGCTTTTGAGAAGTTGACCATACGCAAATTTTGATTCTATTCGTAGAAACAATTCTAAACACCCTGAAGGCCTAAACGAGAGAAGTTGGCTAATATCTATGTTAAAAAAGGTGGATGGTTTTCCCATACCATGGAGTAAAAAATTGCAAGCCACCCAGCAATGCATAGAACCGCCGACAGTCTCATCGCCTGTGACATAAAACAGATCAAATAATAATGTGATGTCCAATTCTTTTTTTACATTTACATAGTCTATTCAGGTGAAAATCGAAATTTAACATACCCCTTTTCTACCGATCAGGTCTGCAATTTGGCCACTAGAAATGGCACCAATCATCGCTCCAATTGTTATAATAGAGCCAAACATGGAAAACTGCAATTACATGCGAAATACTTCAAAACCATCAATTACAACCTGAAATAGAAAAACTAAAAATAGAAAAAACATGTAAAACATGCGAGAATTGAGCTCCAAGAAAGAATTATGAACCTGGGCAATGGATAAGTTCAAATCTTTCCGAATGGCAGATTGTGCTGGTGCTGAATATCCCACCTGCAAAAAGGAAATTCAATTTGAAGGTCCCGATCCCTGACCAAGAACATGGATGAAACACAAAAACTAAGTTAATAAAATAAAGTTTGGAGGAGTAGTCCAGGATCTTATTTAACTAAACAAATACGCATAGATTTTGTACGAAACTTGAACCAAAGGGTGTTTGGAGAGCTGAATCAAAATCAGTTTTTAAGAAGGTCTCTCAATTTCTAAAAACTACTTCGGGAAGCAAATTAAAGCATTGAAGTCAAAAATACTTCTAGACTATCATCCAAACACTATAATTTCTGCTTGATCGGAGTAACAGAAACAATTTTTAAAAATAAATCCAAACAGCGCTAAAATAAGCAAAAAAGGGTGAGATACTCACACAAGATCCGAATTCAAAAGAACCACAAACAGCAACGCATGTAGTGAGAACCACCATGGAAACAGAGCCGTTTTTACAGATCTCTTCATTATCATCGGAATCCACAAAAATCTTTGAATCTGGAAGAAACGGGACCTGGAGTTCGTCCCCGATAATCACCTCCCCCGTACCCTTTTCTATGTCTTGACTGATCGTCATTCTCTCTGAATCTCAGAAGGTTGTGGGTGGGAAGTCTTTGGGTTTTCAGCGCTATTTATACGCATGGGAAGATATTGGTGACTGACGATTTGCTGATGAGGACGCAGCTTTTTTTGTACCAGAATTTAATGATTGTGACATCATTATCTGAAACAAAATTAAAAACCTTTTACCGTAGTTTTTTCGTTTTAAAAAACAAATTGAGTTTAATGCATCAAATCGCTCGTGATATACAAATTTAGCACATTAGTCATCTGTGATTTTGCAAAATGTGTCAAATCCTCTTGTTTTTAATTAATCATGCACAAAAATCGTTTTATGAATAAATCTAAAGATTTGGAAATCACTTTTCCTAATATTCTGATTGAATATGCAAGTAAATATGTCAAAATCTCTAAATCATTATGTTAATCATTTTTCTTTTATTTGACAATTGGATTTGTTCATAGAATAAATTTTGCGCATAATTAATTAAAACAAAAGGGGATTTGACGCATTTTTTAAATCACATGGGACTAATGCGCCGAATTTCCATATTACAAGTGAGTTTGGTGCATTAAACCCAAAACAAATTTAAGACTTGGAATTCATTCAAAAGTCAATCCAATAAGAAGAGTAACTTAAATCTTAATATAACACTTTATTACTTCATAATTTTCAGATGTAAAACTAACACAAATGTCACAGTGGATTTGAAACATGTCAAACCAATTTTGTGATATTTTTTATGGCAAAAATTTCTAACCACTTTTCTCACGTAAGTAGTTGCGGCTGCTGACAAGTGTTGTTAATTTTCAGATGTAAAACTAACACAAATGTCACAGTGGATTTGAAACATGTCAAACCAATTTTGTGATACGTAGTATTTTTTATGGCAACTGTAAATAGTTGCGGCTGCTGACAAGTGTTGTTGGAGGAGGTAGTGGGCGGCAACGCAAGGAAAAATGTGGATACTGAATAGTTGGTACTCGGTAGTAATTAGAATTAAAAGAAAAAATATGATAGTAATATTTTTTAAACATTCCTTAAAACTTTTGTCATCTTTCCTTTTTGGAACGTTCCAAAAAACTTTGTCACTTTCCCTTCTAATCAATTATTTTGTGTCTGCTGTTATTTCTCTCTCTACTCTTCACAAATTTCAACCACACTGTTTTTACATTATTATTCTCTGCGCCGATCAACTTCTATTGTAACATAGGTAGTAACATGTAAGGTGTTTCTCAGCTCTTACCTCATCTTAGAATGATTTAGGATGTTTTTACTTGGACTGTAATTTGCTGGTCTGGTCTGGTCTGGTCTGGTCTGATCTGGTCTGGTCTGGTCTGATAAGGTCTGGTTTCTTTGTATTTTTATAACTATCCAAGTCTGGTCTGGTCTGGTCTGGTCTGGGGCAAATTACAGTCCAAGTAAAAACATCCTTACTACTGTGGTAAAAAGATGTTTATAAATATATTCTATTACTAATATATTTTTAATTATTGTGATTTTGTCAAAACTTAACATTACATTTGATTATTCGAGAATCAAAGTTTTTGCACTTAAACTCCATATATTGATATTTATTTTTATCTTCTAAAAATAAAGAAGTCACACATAAAAAATGAAAGTTGGTCGTATTTTGGTCATTTTTTCTATTCTATAGTGATAGAAATGTGGTAATTCATAGAGTACATTGTCCCTCACATATTCACATAAAATTGACATTGACTAAATCCCTATCTGGCTTGATTAAACTAAAATGTATGAGACTAGATCAAACTTAACCTAAATTTGATTAAACTAACAAATATTGAATCAAGTGGAAAGTGCATGAAGCCAATTCAAACAAACCAAATTTCGTTACAACAAAAGGTCAATGGGACTCATTATATTGCCACCTTTCGTAAATTGAACGGACGTTTATCATATGAAGTGGTGACCATTCAAACCAATTGAACCTAGGGTTTTGCCATTATTTGCATCATCTAACTTAATTATCTAGTCATAAGCCTATCCGCTATTCTATCATGTTTGAATCCATAAACTAAAATTCTATTTGTACACGTTCTTATACACTTGTCTGTGGCAGACCATTTTTCTTTTAATTTTTCGGGCACTTTTGAAAACTGGAGTTACTTTTAACGATCTTTTCAGATGTTTTTAACGGCGTGACCCTCTTGTGATAACAAAATTCAAACTCATGAACCACTTTGATAAAGAATGAAACACATGACCCTACCTGAAAATGAGCTCAACCACAAGTACCTTTTCATACTTTTCCCAAAAAGATATACATCTATATTTATGTGTAATCTGATTAAAATAAAAATAAGATTAAAGTTAATTAAACAGTACCTTTTAGTGTTTTACTTTGATAGTTGAATTTGAAAGGGTCTTTTAGTCTTTTTCGTATAAATATTTCTTAAACCTATTAATGTGTATTTTATTTTTTAATAATTCATATGATTTCGGCAGTACAGCTGTTTTAACTGAAACCCACTTGAATAATACTCTATATCAATCATGTGATAAATTTATTAAGAGCTGGTTTGGTGATTTGGTTTTCGGTTTATCAGACTTATCAGCCAACTTTTTAACCAAATACGTAGCTTTTGATTTTGCGCTCTGAATTGTGTAATAATGAGAAAAAGTAAGGTTAGAGTTATTTTGTGATTGTATTGGTTGAAGTAATTCTAGATGACCATTTTAGATATTTTGCATATACTTTTTTCTTTATTTTATTAATGAAATATATTTTGAATATAATTTTTCATAAATCAGTAGAATTAACCAATACAACTACTTCAGTCATAATTCATAAATTTCAGCAGCCGATTTCAGTGTTACCAAACAGATTCTGATCCTCATCCCTATCATTGATTCAAAAAATTTATAAGTACCCCAATTGCACATACAATTTGTACAATGTACAATTTGTGTACAATCAGATACGCGTTCCAAGAAAGATAATGGTGGAGATGTGAGAGTGTGAGGTAGGATTAAGCTGTCTCTGACGTGTAATCGTATCAGCCCATTTACCCTCTCACGTGCACCTCGATCCGTTCTATTTCAAAAACAAATATCCAGCTGTCCTTGGACAATCCCTCTTGCCCAATCAGTAGATGTACAGAGTAAGTGCGTAAATAAGTTCTTTGTCTCTTTATCTACGGAGTATTATTTCACATTTTAAATTAATGGAATTGTTTTTTTTCTTCTTATTTTTGAAGGCTAGAATGGTAAGCCAGTTATTTTATATTTATTCATTATTTTCTTGTAACTTGTGTCAAATTCACTGTATGACGTATGTTAATTATGTAATAGATGATATACTTTTATTTTTCCTAAACAAATTAATTTAAATAGGTTGCCGTTAGAAATTTAGTGCTCCTTTGATAACTCACGTCTTAGGGCTTATGAATTGTGCAATACTCAAAATAAATAAAATGAGAGTTAATATTTTGATTGAATTGATTAAAATTCTACAAATACTATAGCTATTAGTACCGGAGTGCACAATGATCAGCTCTGAGTCCATTTTATTTGCTCAACATTGGTGCAAATATTCAACATGCAATATCGTGGTGCATGATGTTTGTCAACGATATTATACTGATTGATAAAACGCAATCAAGTGTTGAAGCAAAATTGGAAGTATGACGACATGTATTAGAGAACAAGGATTTTAGATTGAGTCAAAGCAAGATTGAGTACATGGAGTGCAAGTGTGATGGGGGTGAAAGCGGTGGTAACAGTGGAATTACTCTAGATAGTAAATAGATACCAATCAGCGATATGTTTCATTACTTGGGATTCATGATTTAGAAAGATGATGAATTAGTTGAAGATTTATCGCATATCATCAGAACATGTGGATATAAGAAATGGAATAGTGTGTCAGGATTTCTATATGATCGAGATATGATAACTCAACGAAAAATAAATTTTATCAGACATCAATTAAGCGTGCATTACTGTATGGTGTGGGTGTTGATCGGTAAAACAATGTCACATTCAAAAAATGAGAGCGACAAAAATGTGCATGCTACATTGGATGTATGGACATTCTATAAAAGAATGCTTAAGGATTGAGACAATCAGACAAAATGTGGGAGTAACACATATTAAAGATAAGATGTGGGAGTCTCGATTGTGGTGGTTTGGTGATGTGCTTAAAAGATCGAGTGATGCACCTGTTGGATGAGTTAATAGGTTTGGAGAAGAGACCAGGAAGAGAGGGAGAGGGAGATGAAGACCCAAATAACAGTGGATTAGATGAGTTAGAAGTGATATGCTTCTATTTGGGCTAGACGAGAGTGTGACTTTTTAGAAAAACAAAGTGGATGGCGGTATTCATGTGGCCAATTGATATCTTATCATCCTTTTTCCTTTATCTTCTTTTTCTTTCTTATACTTTTTATTCCTTTATCTGTTACACACACAATAAGGATCATATGAGAATACCATCTTAGGAGAGAAATGAAAATGATTAAGGAGCACTGGATTTGGATATTATGTATCATGTAAAACAAAAATGTGCATATAAAAATTTGGCAAATGTGAATTTTAACTATGCAGAAGTTTAAAGGTAAATGTGCACACATGAACTTTGCATTACTTTAACTATAAATGTGCATTGTCATGAATGAAAAAGTGCATCATTTTGTGGCATTCTCATTTCTTACGTTAAGGAGTGTTCTCACTGGAGCTATACTCATATAGGTTTCAGATCAAATAAAAACCACTCTTTATGTGAAAACTTAAAATTGTTTACCTTTTCTACAAAGTGACACACTTTAAGGGTGATCTATTGTATTTTTTGAACTTCGATCGAACCATGCTAAATAAAAAAATCTTGTGACATTTTTGTAAATAAGTCAAAGTTTTCTATTAATGCGAAAAAAGTGCAACATAAAAATCTAATAGTACATCACATTGTGGAAAAAGTGAATGGTTTGTAGTTTTCACGAGAGGAGTGATTTTTAATTGATCTGCACCCTATATATACATGTGTGTGTATTCCTTTTATAATTTTTATCTTTTCATTTTATGTATATTTTATCTCTATTTTAAATTATATTTTCTATCGTACCTGATCTTTTATTTCATTTTTATTTT